GCATCTTATCTATCAGCCCTACTTTTTTTCTCTTGGTGAAGGATTTGATTATCTCTGTGGGAGTTAAGGATAGGCTAATTATTAGCCACAAGGCTTCAACCTATTCCTTTTTTCTGTTGCTTGATTACTTTCATGTAAAATTGATAAATTGTTGTTGTTGACCGAATAAAAAATATCTGTCTGTCTGTCTATCTATCTATCTATCTATCTATCTATCTATCTATCTATCTATCTATCTATCTATCTATCTATCTATCTACCTATCTACCTATCTACCTATCTATCTATCTATCTATCTATCTATCTATCTATCTATCTATCTATCATCTATCTATCTATCTATCTATCTATCTATCTATCTATCTATCTATCTATCTATCTATCTATCTATCTATCTATCTATCTATCTATCTATCTATCTATCTATCTATCTATCTATATCACCTGCAAAAGGTTTCTGAGCCTTTAGATGGTATCTCAGTCTAAGCTGAATTATTGAAATAAATGGCCTTATAAATGCACCATATTCTCATTTTTCAAGTATTACCTGTATATCGTATTGTCTCCCATGTATTACAATAAATAGTATTGCCAGATACACACCCCAAGTGTTCATATATTTATTTTGAGGTATTTCTCTTATGTGTTTTCTTAATTTCTTTGTTGTGCTCTTCATTAGTACAGAGTAAAACAAGCAAGCTGCAGAGATAATTCAAGTTATTGTTGTTTATATTGTTGTTTGTGGGCAAAAAGTGGATAAAAAGTTTATATAAGATCCAAAGGAAGGTTGAACTGTGTCAAATGAATAGAAAGGCTGAAAAGTGGAGCATCAACATGCTTGAGGCCTCTTCATTCCACCAGCTCTACTTCGTCTTCCTCGTGCTCCCGCCACAGTAATAAAACACTTGTAAGATTTCCATCAGGTGTCCATTGGTTTGAGTTTGAGAGAATTCATGACTCATTCATCTGAAACTGGTAGTGAGAAGTGTTGTGTTCTCTGAATTTTCACCCCTCCTTCCTGATATTAAAACACATTCCATAAAGAATGCTACCCTTCGCCTACCTTGGATAAATGTGTCATTTCCAGTTTAACCATGAAATGTGGAACAGGTTGAGCTGTTGTGGGGAAAACGTCTTGTGCCTGAAACAAAGCCTTGGGAGAGTTGGGCAACGCATAAACGAAACTGGTGTTGCTAAGTCGGGGCAGAAGTAATCCTGATGTAGGAGGTGGAAACACCTTTGAAACCTGGCTGGAAGGAAGTCATGAGACTATTTGTTTATGTGGTATTCACTAAGAGGTCTGCCTGTACTAGGAGTTGTGTCTTGTGTAATGTTTGAATACTGACTGTTTTATGGCTTATTTGAGACTTCTTGATTAAAAATAAACTGAATAATATCAGATCAATTAGTCAGACAACGACAAGACTTCTAACATTTTCAGACCTCCAAAAATACTTTAATTTATATCATTTATATAAATATTCTGAACTTTATTGTTTTAATGATTAGCTGTTAATAACTTCTGTGAACTTTTCACTTTTACCAGCTCTTAACATCTTGAACCAGCTGGATAACACCTATTTCAGCTGTAGCATGCTGTTTTTATGCTAACTACAAATGTCAGCATGCTAGCATAAACTGATTTAGTCTTTTCATGAGCGCTACTCGTTTATTTCTCTTTATTCCTGCATTTTCTTGTTTTATGTGGGACTGTGGTGACTCACAAAGCTCAGCAGAAATTAAGCTTAATCTTTTCTACAGCCAGTGTTCATTTGAGCTAATAATAAATCTGCTTCTGACTCCCAAACGCCTCAGGTTCTAAGTAATGAGTTAACTGAGGTTGCATAAAGCTCTATTTTAAGTGTCCCTAAGCAGTGTCAGCACTAAGTCACAACTACCAGAGGCAACATTAGGGGTCAGTTTGTTCTCAGAGGGTCACGTTGACTTAGTTAAATCAATCTAATAGCCACGTGGAAAACATGGAAATTATTCGTCCAAGCATGTTAATTTTTGGGAAATAGTTTAGCATAGCAAAGAGTCTGCGTCTCCGACCTGCTTTCCAATGTAAATGAACCCTCTCAGGCTCAAAAACAAGTTTTGATAAAAGGCCGAACAACTAAGTCCTTCAGGGGTACTTCTGAGTTAAAAATGCTCATGAAATACGTATGTGGAGTAGCCAGGTAGGTAGGTTTTAACGTTGCAAATCTGCAATGCCTGCCTCCAGAGGGTTAACCATGTTGTAATGGATGCCGTGGAACGGTTTGCTCTGAGAGACCCTGGTTTAACACATCATATGGAAGACACACCCCCTAGAGTCCGTCAGTAATTCACTGTCATAAAACTAAAAGTGAAACTCTTCTCGTTGTGCATTGGTCTTTTTAGCACCACAATCTAAGTGCTGAGGTGTCTCCTCAGTCTTCATTAGGGTCTACAGCAGGGGTGTCAAACTAATTTTAGCTAGGGGGCCTCATTGAGGGAAATCTAGTCCCAAGTGGGCCGGACCGGTAAGTTAAAAAAAACTTCAGATTGTTTTCTTTGTTTTAATACAATCAATATAAAACAAGGCTGGAGCCTGAGGACAGTGTAGTACAAGTACAACACCTGAAGTGTACTTGAAAATTTGGAAAAAAATAAAAAAATCAACAAATAAAAAACACATTGCTTAGTGATTCGAAGAGCTTACAGATCACATGGCAAGATCAGTTTCATGCAGCACTTAAAGTATATTTGACTCATTTTACTTTACATCTTTTAGCTTTCACCAGCACATCAATATCAGAAGTCACATCCTGAGTGGCAGCCAACTTCAGGATGTGATTCAAGTTCTTGTGTGAGCCTTGAGCGCAGCTTTGTTTTATTTATACTCATTACAGAGAAAACTTGCTCACAATGATAAGTTTATTTTCACTCTACATTGTAAAGTATGAAAATAAAGTTTACACAACCATCTCGCGGGCCGCATATTTGACACCCCTGGTCTACAGGAAGGATTCATCACTAAATCAAACAAATCAGCAGTGTTCATGATCCAAAACATGCAGGAAACGTGCTGGAAGCAAACTGCAGCATTGGCATGTTGGCTCCACTTTACTATATTCAGATGCTCTGAAGTTGCAAGTGTGGTATTCTGGCAACAGAGGGCGGTGGGGTTTGAGTGACTTTTCATTAACTCTGTAAAGGGTAATTTTAGCACATACTAGCTCAATAAAATGATTTTAAAATATGAAAAAGTTGCATAATGTGCCTTTAAATTGGCATGTCCCAACCCATTTTGATTATTTATGTTGGTTATAGTAATGCTAACCACAAAGCAACGCTAACCCAAGCTAGTGCTCATGTTAGCTCAAGCTACTGCTGATGCTAGCCCAAGCAACTGCTGATGCTAGCCAGAGATACTGCTAATGCTAGCTCAAGTAACTTTTAATGCTAGTCTGAGCTACTGCTAATGCTAGCCCAAGCTATTGCTAATGTTCTTGTTGGACGAGAAGATAAAAACAAAGAAGAATGTCAGAGCAGACATGTAATGTTCTAGGGTGTAGTGGGACTATCCAGACTTTGAAAGAATACCATGTAGATCCACAGACTGTTTTGAGTTATCCTGGTACCATACATGGCCGTACACAGAGTTTCTAGCTTCAGATAGCTTCAGCACCATCACAGACTCATCGGGGTAAACCAGTCAATCAACACGCAGCTCATTCAATATTCATGTTCTGGCAGTGTTCATCTTTCCGTTGTAGGACTTTGAGTTAGGCCTTTTTTCAGGGCTCCTGGGCCATTTTGAGCCCCAACAAAGTTTCACATGCTATATAGGAGCTCAACTAACAGTTTCCAATCATAAAAAAAGTTTTGCTAGGACCCCTTTAGGTAAACTGAGGGGTGGATGGAGACGGTCCAAAATCCTATTCTGATTTTGTTGTCTATGTGTGCCACTGCAAGGTATTTGGATCAAGTTTTATGTCGTTGAATACCTCTTGTAGTATTTATGGAAAATTTCATATAATTATTTCTGTGTAAAAACACAGAAGTTGAACTGACTAGTAAACATCTTTGACCTCCTCTCTTGGGTAGCCCAAATAGCTTGTGTTCACTCTGATCCCCTGTTACATTTCAAAAGGATTAGCTTTTCCATCCAATCCTTTATGCAACTCATCCCATAAGACATTGCAAATTATCTTAAGGCATTATTATTATGTGGCTGTTTAAGCTGTATAAACAGCTGCCCTGTTGTCGTTTGGATTCCTCATTATTCGTCTTCGTGTAAAGCCTCTTCTTCCTCTCTCTTCTGCTCCCAATCCGCTCATCTCTGTGAAGTCTGGTGGAGAATTATCTACACTCGTCTCCCAGGAGACAAGAAAGCAATTTAGTTAGACTGTAATGATTCTAATGACTGTATCATTCAATACATTTTGCCTTGTGAGTGGATCGCTTTGTACAAGTGCACACTGCAGATTACGTGCACGTGTAATCTGGGAATTCAAGGATTTGTTAGTCATGACACACAATTAATGACGATGCATCCTGCTCATTCTGCACATTTGAAATTAACAGATTGTTCAGCACAGAACATTTTTAAACAATTCCCTTTAGTCATGAAAAGTCACAGAATAGTCATCTGAGCTGCAGTATTGAGCATTAGCGTTTATTTTAACCAGCTATACATAAGTTAAATAAAATATTATTGACTTAGTAGAATTATTATGGAAGCATCTAGGTTAAATTAATCAAAATCACGTAAAAGCCAAGGATATGAGCAAAATCTAACTGGATAATTGCAGGCGTTGAAGGTTTTGAGGTTGTTCTAGGTGGACGTTTTGCATGAAGTAGGAGAACAATGGATCTAGACAACACTGTGACCGTTCAGCTTCCTGACTCATACTGTGAGGAGGAAACAGGGACAAGGGTTTTGACTCAGACTGTCCCATTTCCACAAATCAATAGCATAAGCATATTGGCTGATGTTGTGTCATACTGAGAAAGTCTTTTCTTGGACCCCACAGGATACCACAGTCTTTGAAAAGGAAAATGACATAATCGTTATTGTGAGTTGACTTATCATTTGCATGTTTTTGTTTATTACATTAAATAGAAAAAGACAAAAATGATTAACGTTGTCCTCCTGGCTCCTTGTGCTTCATCTTCATAGTGTCGTCAGGTGGTGGAGATTTGCGACGGCATCTTGAGGTCCGTCCCTGAAACGATTCTGACCCAAACGGCTCAGCTGGAGAGCGTGGACCTGGTGCCCGTTTCACCGGGCGATTATTTGGTAAAGACTCCGATATAAAAACTCGTAGCTTTTGTATTATTTGTCTTCACAAGTTTAAATGTGAGGAGTTTATTTCTTTGGTTTTGTTCCATTTAAAGGGATACTAGGCTGTTTTGCTTGCATTTAGCGCCCCCTAGTGCTCGTTATTAATTCACTGTGGTTATACTGAAAATGAAACATCTCCTCGCTGTGCATTCGTCTTTTTAACACCTCAATCCAACTGCTGAAACGTTTCCCCAGCCTTCATTAGTTTCTACAGGAAGGATTCATCACTTAATCAAACAAATCAGCTGTGTTCATGGTATAAATCATGCAGGAAGTGTGCTGGAAGCAGACTCCAGCTCCACCACATCAGCTTCATTCCACTACACAGCTCCCTCCAACAGCAGGGACCAGATTGGCACTCCGAAGTTGCAAGTCCGGTATTCTGGCCATGGGGGCAGTGGGGTCTAAGTGACATTTCATTAACCCTGTAAAGGGTCTTTTTTAGCACATAATTGCTCAAGAAAAGTATTTAAAAATAAGAACAATTTGCCAAGTATCCCTTTTAATACTAGTTTAGCTAAAACTGGTATCTATAATTTCTGCTTCATAACTTTTTTGGTCTTCTCTCTTTTTTTCTGTTCATCTTCTCTCCATTTTCAGCCCTTTTCATTCAGATTCTCACAACTTTTGCATTTTGTGATTTTTCTGTTTGTTCCTTTGCTACCCAGAGCCGCTCTTCATCCTCTTGGCCTCATTTCAACTCTTCTTCCATCTAACTCAAGGTTCTCCACTTTTATTACTGAAACCTTCTCTGGTGTTCACAAACAGTGTTCTTTTTGCGTGGCTTTCTGCACTTTCTGACCATAATTACAGCTCCCGTCTTTGCTTGTTGCCCGCATAATCTGGCATCCTTTTAGTGCTCGTTTCTAAAGAGACATTTTTTCAACACGTTTCCTCATTTCTTCCCATTTGTGGACTCAGTCCATTAAGTAAAAACCTCTCCTGACACACAGTGGTTTCATTTGCTTGCCTGATTTGCCCTCCTGATCTAATCCTTGGTGTGTGTGTGTGTGTGTGTGTGTGTGTGTGTGTGTGTGTGTGTGTGTGTGTGTGTGTGTGTGTGTGTTTGTGTGTGTGATGTTCCTTGGATGTTTTTGTGTGCAGCTTTGTGGCTGCATGTGTTTTAGAGAAGTGGGTTTTAGTTGAGCTATGAGGGTCAAATTTAGAAGAGACTAAATTTTATTATTTTAGGTATTTTTCATCAGCAATAACGAGATAGGAGCACCAATAAATTGAGATGAATAGGAACTTAAAACAAGAAATAAAGGGAAGTGAAAAGGAGGAAGTTTGATTAAGTGAGTTTATGAATCATAACCTGCCAATAAATTGTCCATAAATCCAAAATTAAAGGCTAATCATTTGTTGCTGATATATTTTTGAAAAATAAATAAATAAAAAGTGTATATATATATATATATATATATATATAATATATATATATATATATATATATTATATATATATATATATATATATATATATATATATATATATATATATATATATATATATATATATATACACATATATATATATAATAGTAGCCACAAATATTTATGTTGCAATTATTTTGATGATATTTTTGACTTGGATTACATGATTTCTGCGTGCAGTGTTATTGAAAGACTTTGTGGATGATAAAATAAACTTTCATTTATATAATGTAATTGATTTCATGTTAAAGCGTAGAATAATGTAAAGTCTGTTTGTGTTTCTGTTGCCATTTTAGGTCCTTTTTTACACTTCCAAAACAAAAAGGTTTTTAAAAAAGCCTCACTTTTTAAGACATTTTATCTTTTTTTTTTTTGTCTAAAAATAATTTTCTTTGGAAAAAATGTGTTATTTACAATAAGGTAAATATTCTTAAATGTGATCCATGTGTTTCTGCTTAAACTTTAACTCTTGAGTTAAATTGTCAGCCATTGAGATCAGCAAATGTTTGCTAGAATTCTTAAAACTAGCAAAAGCATCAGTTGGATTTATTAGCTAGTGTTAAGAAAAAAATGCCTGAGGATCAGTTTTTGCAGTGTAGCGGTAGTTTTCTCTGTCTGTGTTTTGACGTAGAGCCAGCTGATGGTTTATTAAATCTTTGCACAACCATCTGCTTCTCCTCAGAATCCAAATCTGACACTAACAAGATCACCTTGCATCATTTTGTCTCAGCGGTGTGCTAATTTGATTCTGTGCAGGGCGATGTTCTCAGCTTTGGTATGTTTTGGTTTTTATCATTCAGAAATATATACAACATCTTTCCATTTTTCATTTCTGTCAGGGGATCGAGATAACGTCCACCAGTTCCAGTAACCACTACGTGACTGGAGCCGCGGCCGAGGTCAGACTCTTGCTCTTAAACTTGACCTAAACTGCTCTTTTTAAAACTCACATCAGCAGAAAAACAACAACATCCAGTAAACAAGCAGGCATTAGTGAAGTTTAAACAGTGTGCATTGATGTGTTTTCACTGCTCTGCACGGTTAAAAATAGCATGTCTTTTATTTGGAAGCATGAAGTCTGCAGAAAACAGATATCTTTGGATGTGCCCGAGCATTTCATAATATTTTTATCCGTCTGCTCGTGTGTCACCAACACGACGCTGTATCAGCCGCTGAACAAGGGTGCTTGTTTTCAAACCCATCCATCTTCTATACCCACTCACCCATGCAGGGTCACGGGGGGCTGGTGCCCATCTCCAGCCGTCTCTGGGCAGGCAAGTAGGGTACACCCAGGACAGGTCACCAGTCCCTCGCAGGGCAACACAGAAACACACAGGACAAACAATCAAGCACACACACTCACTTAAGGGAGACCATCTAACCTGACAGTCATGTTTTTGGACTGTGGGAGGAAGCTGGAAAAGCCAGAGAGAACCCATGCATGCACTTTTGATTATTTTAAACTTAAATGATCATGCAGACTTTGTTTAAATGGGTTTGTGATCTGCAGACTTCATTTTTCCCCCATTTCATTGAGTTATTTTTTATTTCTTTTAATTTAGGAGATTTTTGGTGGTTTACAGTTTTACACTTCAAGTTTCTGCACGGTTTACCTGAGTACCTGGAAATTCTGACGCAACCCAGAAGTCAGCAAAAACAGATAATACATTTATTTAACAAACATCAGTGTTATAGTTCAGGACAAAGGGAATCCCTTGAAGCTCTGCGCCGCTCTTCAGTCTGTGCAGGGATTCTCCGTTTTGTCACAGACGCCGAAAAACACGGCAATACAAATCCACAATCCAAAATCATGATGAGTGCACATGCAAGGGTCTTCCCAACGGACTGCCTTGTACACCGGCTGCAGATCGTGTGCAGAACGTCTCCGGAAAGTTGCTCATATTAATTTGAGCTCACTCCATAACGACTGTGTGTGTAGACGGGAGCCCATGTGCAAGAGTTACACTCGTCTTCTCAGACTATCATACACTGTGAATCATCAATAACAACAAAAGAAGCCGACAGGATGACGCAACGCAGGTTTTATTTTGAAATAACCTGGATGCACCTCACTGAAACGCATCTCACTTCCTGTCTGGCACATGAAAATTCTTCTACTTCATGACAATCCACGTGTGGCTTCTGGAAAAAAATAGAAACCATGTGCTGCGATGCCACAGCTTCGCATCTACAGACGAGTAAATGAATCCCTAGGCTGATTAAAGAACAAAGTGTGCCGAGTGAATTTCTGGAAAACTGAGAGAAAAAATAAATTAATAGAACAAAAAACATCAGATCACGACAAGTTTCTGTCTTAAAATTGTCTTTTGCCTTTACAACAATCATGTTTATCATGTCCAGATGATGAAGCCATCCTGCAACCCCAAAATTCCACTACCTCCGCTCCGGCACGAACTCCGCAGCAAAATTGGTCCCGTTGTAGTCAATCAGAGCTGTTCCACTACTGCGGCCGTGCGGCGCAGTGCGCCGCCCGCCATTCCACCATCCGGCAAAAATAGGATCGATGCTATTTTCACCGGACGCCGGAGCACCTCCGCAGTCAATGGACAGGAATCACAACCACCCAACAGGAAAGGGAGCAAGCACAGCTTCCGTTATTTCACAATAAATCGATAAACAAAAAGCGTTTTTTGTTTCATATGCACAGGTTCAACAACTTTTAACAACTATCAATGGCGGCTGAACTTTACATGCACAAAAGTAAGCTATAAATACAGTTTCTACTATCAAAGTAGTCACACTTTGTTGATCCAAACACTGCTGATCTCTCAACACAAATGATGGGCAGATTAAACAGTTCATTTCGATGCTTCTCCCACACAACGGGTGTTTGGATCTAACTTCCGCGTTTATTGCTCGGACTGTATCGCAAGATCTCGAAAATCCCGCGCATGTCTGTTTGCGCACCTCAGGTCTCCGCACCGGAGCGGAGTCGTTGTAGAGTGGGTACCAGTAAAAATTGAGTTCTGAAGCGAGCGGCTGCGGAAGGCGGGGGTGGACCGGAGTGGAGGTAGTGGAATCTTGGGGTAATTTAAAGCACTCTGGATTTTAATTTCCCCACAAGATGGATGCGGCTGTCATCTGTTTTACTGTAACAGTAAATAATATTCATCATTGTAACCCGTAAGTTGGTGTTATGTACTTTGTGTGATCCAAGTTCTTGTTCCTCCTTTTGCAGCCTTCCACCGATGCTTATCTGCGGGTTTTGGCTGGTGATGAAGTGATTCAAGTCAATGACCAGATTGTGGTGAGTAACTGGAATAAAGAGCAGATCGATGTTTTTCTTGGACGTTTCCACCAAACGTTCTTTCATCTAACACCTGAGGTCTGATCTTCCTGTAAAGTCTGTCAGTGCCTAAAGCTTCACACCGAATCAATCTGTGTCTCTGCCTCAGGTGGGCTGGAGCAGAGACAACCTTCTAAAGAAGCTGCAGGAGAATGCCAGCGGAGTGACGCTGGTTTTGAAGAAGATTCCCCGATCAGTGCGACGCAAACACTCCGTCCAGGTGGTCACGATTCAGGTCAGGGGTCACAGCATCACAACTTTTATCTACCTCCCTAACTTTAGTTATTCACATCATCCTGCAGACTAGGAGAAGGGTATTCTTGTTTTGTTGCAGTTTGACTCCTGGTTTACTTTTAAATTAAGAGGAAAATCTAACATCAACTCAGCAACCGCCATAATGAGAAGTCCTTACTTCACTTGGGATCTGTTTCTGTAAACACTCCTAAGCTATCACTATGTCAACTGTCTGTTTAGGAGCAACACTCTAACAAACACACACACACACACACACACACACACACACACACACACACACACTCCGAGCATTTCACACCCCCTTGTGATGATTACCACGATAATCTGAGATCTCGCTGGCGGCTTGGAGTGGGAGAAACCTTCAGAAGATGTGAATCAGCTGAGTGTGTCGGCTCCATATCGCCCTGAGAAGATGTCCTGATTCTTGAAGATTTCACAGATTTTTTTGTGTGTGTGTGTGTGTGTGTGTGTGTGTGTGTGTGTGTGCGTGTGTGTGTGTGTGTGTGTGTGTTTTATATGACTCCGTTCCTCTCTTCGTTTGCTCATAACCACAGAGTGTGCAGCTGGAGACCTGGGGAGAAGGGTTACCAGTGGAGTCCACATGACACCCGTTCTCCTAAACACAACATGCACACTCACATGCTTGGGTTTTGTCTGGTTTGTTCTTAGACGGAGGAAGAGGAGAGAGAAGAAAGGTCAGACGAGGAGGAAGAAGAGAAGGACAAAGAGGAGAGTGTGCGGTACTCCTTTTTTGAGCGGGTAGCTGCTTCTGTCAGGACTTTGTCTTTTCGGTATGAATAATATCAACTTTACCTCCAATAATGAGCTAGAATCACTGTAACATCTTGGATTTGTTTTCCAACACGTTTAAAGGAATTTTAAAGACGACTTTCAACATTTCCAAGTCTGTTTGAAGAAACCTCGGGATCCAACAGCACCACCGGCTGCCCGCAGATACAGATTAGATGATCTGGAGCTTCATTTCAGTTCATAAAACAGATTATTTGTGGGCGTCTGTTATTTGTGCACCAGATTAAGATGTTATGCATTCCCAACAATTGTTTCATTCTGGTCCTTCACACACGGGCTGCAGCTCAGAGCAACAGGGAGGAGGTCTTAGTAATTTTTCAATTATTTTACTCTATTTCACATCTCAGAGGAAAATACATTCAACTAGAACTTTTACATTTAGAACAAATAAGAAATGTAAGAATTTTTTTTAGAATCATAAAAAATGTAAAAAAAAAACAATGATGTAGGTTTTAGGAAAATTTTACATACTTTTGGGGGATTTCATTTTAAGATGTATGAAATAAGACTGACATCCTGTGGCCAAATTTGGGTACTGCAGTCCACGTACATCAACACAACCAAGTACACTCTCGGCACCCCCTCCCTCATTTGTGAAGATTCTAGAAGACGAGTAAAGACGAGTCGTGCAATGTAATATTGAGATTTTGTTAGAGCCGACAGTTTCTTCCAAATTTTTTGTTAGCATTGTTAGCTCATCATAAGCCTTCTTCACCCCATGGCCGTGACTTCTTAGGGGTACTAGAAATAACTCCTGGGTCGCTCCTGTTACGGACCTTCATTCAGTCCACAACGCTTTGTTTTACCGGTCTGGGTCGAATTACAAATGCCAGGGCTGCAGCATTTGCTGGTGTGGAATCAGCAACTGTTCGGCCTCACAGATTATAAACAAAGACTAAGTCCCTCTTTGGCTTTTTAAAAAAGAAAAAAACAAACAACACCCCAGCTGGCTGAGAAGGAAATCTGTTTCAATGTAACCTTTCTACTAACATGAATGAGACTTAGACTTAATTCTTACATATTGCACCTTTTACAACATATAGTATCTGCTATTTAAAAGGCATTTGTTTTCCAAGACAACAAAAAAAATACTTGAAATACCTACTAATTCTATAAAATCCATTAAATGATTTAATCTTTGGGAAGAAGCATGTAACATGTTCATTTTAAGCCTACAGACACAGCAGTTAAGTTAGGTTCACTGAATTAACGAGGATTTACTCAAAGGAACAGAACTTCCCTTCTTGACCTTTTTTAATC